ATTCAAAATGGTTGTGAACTAAATTTGTGTGTCCATGAAAGAACAATACATAGTTTCGTATGAGAACACCCTCAATCAGTCCCTTTTGTGAGCCCTGGAATATGGAATAAATTGACCATAAAATGAAAGTTAACAAAATAGATATAGAATATCTGATAATAGGATTATGGGCCTTGTTTAAAATCCTCCAAATAAGAGGCTTATTTTTCTATATTTCTGTCTGTAGCTGAACCAACATCTATCAAATAAGCTATCTGAAGTTCGATCAAGTCTTAGACAAGTCATTTCAAATTATATAAATTGTGGAGGACAGCTTTCACAAACTTGCAATTGTACAGCAAAATATATTCATAAGATCTGTCATTTTCCCCAAAATTACACAAAACTCTAAATTGGATTTGACATTTATATTTATTTGGGGAATATCTATAGAAATTTGATAACCAATATTCTTTATCTTGAATTTCTTATATGTCTATTTACACAACATATGGAAAAAATGCATGAAGGATCATTATCTGATTTTACTGGCTGATAAAGCTCAATTTCAGTCCAAGCATTTACATTTTTTCTGAATATTTTGAACACGATTTTGGTCTAGCTTAAACTATGTAATAATAACATGGCCTCAATTTACTGTCCGATCTGAATAACTTGACATAGCTCAATTTCAGTCCAAGCAATTAAATTTTTTCTTAATATTTTAAACACGATTTTGGTCTAGCTTTAACTATGTAATAATGACATGGCCTCCCTCAATTTACTGTCCGATCTGATTGACTTGACAGGGCTCAATTTCAGTCCAAGCATTTAGATTTTTTCTTAATATTTTGAACACGATTTTGGTCTAGCTTAATCCATATAATAATAACATGGCCTCAATTTACTGTTCAATCTGAATGACTTGACATTTTCCGAATCAACAATTCCTTATCCTAAATCACAGACAACTGCATCCACGACCTATGTCAGGATTGAGCCAGAGATCAATTTCAGCCATATCGCATCACAGTTTGCAATTTCAAATTACCCTTTTTGCGCTCCAATATTTCAGATGATTTGCAAAAATTCAAATTTATCACGACGTTCTGCGAATCAAATTAAATTGTATGTTTGAAGGTTTACTACTGGAATATTTTAAAAAACTACCAGATTTTTAAGAAATGTGAATCAAAATGTCTACCTTACTTGGCCACTGGTGGCCTTACTGAGAATTCTAGAATTGTCAACTTAAAATAACACACAAAGGACAAGAAATTCTACAAAATGGATGGTGGAATTTCTGACACAATTTGAGTCGAATTCCAAGAATTAATGAACAAGTGGTGTGATTTGTCATCGCTCGGTAGTAACCAGTCATTTTTACACCCTAACTACAAATGAGAGCTGACAGGCAATCATCAATCAATATTCTGAACGGTCAGTTGCCTGTCAGAAACGTCACTAGAGATTTTACGCTGGTTTATCTGATCTGTAACGATGTCGATAAAACAGTCATTAAGCAGGAAAGCTCGTTAGTCAGTTAGTGGATGTGATACAGATAGCATCACTGATGGAATTTCATCAATAAATTGTCCTTGAGATGCACAGATAAAATTTTATTTTCACAAAACTCATTTTAAAGGGACAGTGTGGCCATCATTCCTTAGTCTCAGAAATATGAATTTATTTTATCTAAGCTAATCAGTAATAGTGTTAACATCTCACTGTCGAAATGTGAGCTTTCAAATCCATGTATGTCTAGAACTATCTGTGTTTGATTGTCTTTTTTTGAGACTTGTGTCATATATAGAAAAGAAATTTATATCGAAATAGAAGGTGATATTCTTAGTTTGAGGTATATTTGAATTATGCGATTTTTTAACATTTATAGCACTTTTATTTCTATTACCCCTTTTGTACGGAAGCGTATTAGGGCCATTCATTTTTTTTTTTTTTTTTGGAATTTTCAAGTTAGTAACATACTAACTTGAAAATTCAACATACTAGCTTGAAAATTCAACATACTAACAACATACTAACTTGAAAATTCAACATACTAGCTTGAAAATTCAACATACTTGCTTGAAAATTCAACATACTAGCTTGAAAATTCAACATACTAGCTTGAAAATTCAACATACTAACATGAAACTTCATCATACTAGTTTGAAAATTCAACATACTAACAACATACTACCTTGAAAATTCAACATACTAGCTTGAAAATTCAACATACTTACTTGAAAATTCAACATACTAGCTTGAAAATTCAACATACTAGCTTGAAAATTCAACATACTAACATGAAACTTCATCATACTAGTTTGAAAATTCAACATACTAACAACATACTAGCTTGAAAATTCAACATACTAGCTTGAAAATTCAACATACTTACTTGAAAATTCAACATACTAGCTTGAAAATTCAACATACTTACTTGAAAATTCAACATACTAGCTTGAAAATTCAACATACTAACAGGGCTGTTGATTTTAGAAATTCCAACTGGATATTTTAACAATTTATTATTAATCTAAATATTTGTACCCATTTTCATAGCTAATT